AGCTGCCCTGTCCCCCCTCCCCCTGCCAGGCAGCAGCTGGAGCCTCCTCCCCACCCCCAGCCCAACCCTCCTCCATCTCTGCTGGCAGGTTAGTGCATGCAGGGGCCTGGCCCCAAACTGATAGGGGCGAGGGAAGATGCGGTACAAGCTTCCCCCTTCCCCTTCCTCCCAGAGTCGGGCTCATCCATGTGCTAAGTGTAGGGCCCCACCTCACAGCAGCGGCAGGGTAGGGCACAAATTTTGCCTTTGCCCCCGGGCACATAACACTCTCGCTACGCCTCTGTGCTAGAGAGACCACCCATCTCATTTTCTCCAGCACAGTCCTGTATTTAAGCTTGGTTCCCAGCGTCCCAACTTAAACAAAAACAAAAAACCCCAGACACATTGTCCTGTATTTCTGCTGTAGCAGGGAGTGGGGAGGAGCTGCCAGTGCTCAGGGCTTCAGCTGCTGAAACACCAAGCACTAGCAGCTCCCCTCCTCTCCTGTTCCCTCTCTGCGTGCTGCAGGGCCGAACTTCATCCCTGCAGCAGTGTAGGGTGGGCGTGGTGCTGCTGGTCCTCGGAGACTCAGCCGTGGGAGCCCTGAGCACTGGTGGTTCCTCCCCCCATTTCAATGGACTCTTCCCCCCCCAACCACTCTGGGGCTGGAGCCCCGATTGCTAGCAGCTCTCCTCCCCTCCGCCCCACAGGGCTGAAGCCCTGAGTGCCTCCACCTCTTCCCCCCACCCTCATTGCAAGACTGAAGCCCCAAGTGCCAGCAGCCACCCCTTTTGGGCTAAAGTCCCAAGCACCGGCAGGTCCCCCACCTTGGTATCCTGTATTTGGCATGGGGAAATATGATCACCCTAGTCATTGCAATGTGCACTTCCTCAGAATTCTGGCTGAGCCTGAGAATTTGCAGAGGGAGCTCCCTCTGCAATCTGGCCTCTCCCTGTCCTACCAGGACACAGGGTTGTGCTGTGATAACAGAATCTGACTCCTATTGTATAGTTTTGATATAATCTGTGCTTGCATTCAGGACTGACCATGTGCCTCCTCAGGGATAGTTTCTTCTGGCTGTCTTGTGGTTAGAAGAGATTTTTCTGTGGCATGATGATCAAATCCCATTGGTTTCAGTTGGAGCCCAGTTAGGCCCCATATTTTTAATCAACATCCATTCAGCTATATCTGAAAACTAGGTGCTAGTGCTTATGAATGGAGATGTTGCAATTCCTTACACGGTTTTCTCTCTCTTTTTTTAAATAACGCAATAAATAATATTGAAGCAGTCCTTCCTCTCCAGTCAATTGTCATTGGAATCCTTATGGCCCTTGGTCTGAATGTGATGGCTGCACTAAGACTCAGGTATAAAGCTATGAATGCTTTTTTCCCTTTTGCTTTCCTGAATTTGCATTTTTATAGTAATTATGGTAGCATTATATCTGTCAGAGAAAGAAAAGCCTGCAATATTCCAAGAAAGACAGATTAAGAGCTGATCCTATAGAAGGAAAGGACACTGATGTTAGGAAAGTGGATAAAAATCATAAGCATAACTGACCCAGTTGTTTCTGTTTTGGTGATAATTTAAAAAAGTCCTAGTCAAAATTCCCATAAACTCGATTATAATTCTTCAGCTGATATCTATTGATTTCTATTGTGTGTCAGTTTTTATTGGATGACCCAATTGCTCCATTGTATGCCATTCCTAATAGAAACAAACTGAAAGTTTTCTATATTGGCACTTTTACTCAAGTGAGGTATTTTTGATTTTCAGATTCCTTGTTTCATCCTTTGATAAGTCATTAATTAGAGATAGGCAAATGGATGGGTTTGGATTTAAAAATGGCCATTGTGCACCTTTTCAGAAGAGTTGACATGAACATGAATTTATTTTGAGATACAAAAAACAAAACAAAAACAAAACAAAAATAATAAAATCATTTGTCTAATTTTAGCTTTTGTCACATTTGATTTTGCACTAGTTTCTTCCTGCTGGGGTTGATAGCTGTTTTAGTTTAGTTCTGACAGGTCAGTTCCAGGAGTAACTGACACCATTAACAATGTTTCTAAAATGAAGGGAAAAAGTAGTATTTTCAACTTGCTCCTAAAATTCCCAAGTGGTACCTAGGTTTTAGAACAGAGTAATTGGATTTATAAGTGGACTAGGGCTAAAAACAGAGGAGTCCTTTCTATTAAACCATTAAAAAATATATTGTTAATTTGTAGTAACATGTGTTTGTTTTCAGGAAATGTAAATTAATGTTTCAAATAATTAAAGCAAAAGATTTGTTGTGCTGTCATGAAAGCAGTCTAATATTTCTGCCTTCGGTTTGCACTTCCTAAAGGCTTCTATTGATTTCCATTCAGATTCGTAGAAGAACAATAGCAGTTTATGGCCAATATGGGGGAAACCCATGTGTTGGGAGTGCCTTTGAAACACGACAATGTGTTCCTACGAGAGGATGCCCAACAGAGGAGGGCTGTGGTGATAGGTTCAGGTGCTTTTCAGGTATTTAATTTTATTTTATGTTTCATAACTTTCTAATAAAGTTATGAAGATAATTGTGTGATGGTGCTTCCCATTTATCAGAAAAATCACAGTATCCTAGGTTAAATAAAACCAAAGGATGAAAACTCCAGAGTTTACAGAAAATAAATTCACAGGCCAAAGATCAGATATACTATCATCACACCAACACTCCTGTATGCACACTGTTCAGTTGCACACAGAGGGCCCTGTTTTACTCTGAGTTTCACAAACAGTAAATTTAAATGATGAATTATCTGGGTTTTAATTGCACCATTCACAACCACTATCCCCTGGTCTATCGGAATGAGCTATGGGTTGCATGGAAATGATGAGCCCAATTCTCCCCTTTTTCACACTAATGTTAACAGGGGTAACTCAACTGCCTTCAGAGGAGTTACAATGGAGTAAAACTAGCCTAAACCAGAGAAGAATCAGGCCTAATATGTGATCATGCAATTTAAGGCTGCATTCTAGTGTATACACACCAGTAAGCTGCGCTGTATTTTTATAACGTTCAGTAATGCCCTCAGTTCAATTCACATGTCACTTTTTTAGAGACAGTGTTCACTATCATGCTGTGTCTAGACTACATGGCTCCATCGATAGAACCATGTAGATTAGATAATTAGGCAAAGGCAAATGAAGCTGTGATTTAAATGATCGCGGCTTCATTTAAATTTACATGGCTGCCGCGCTGAGCCAACAAACAGCTGATCAGCTGTTTGTCCGCTCAGCGCGCTAGTCTGGACACTCCTCTGCCGACATCAAAGCCCTTTGTCGGCAGAGGAGTGTCCAGACTAGCGCGCTGAGCGGACAAACAGCTGATCAGCTGTTTGTCGGCTCAGCGCGGCAGCCATGTAAATTTAAATGAAGCCGCGATCATTTAAATCGCAGCTTCATTTGCCTTTGCCAAAAAAACAAATCTACATGGCTCCGTTTATGGAGCCATGTAGTTTAGACGTACCCTCAGAGGGAGAAAAACAGAATTTGAACTCTGATCTTCCAGTGATATATGGGTCACAGAGGCAAGCTCCTTAATCCAAGTTTTTCTTGAGTTTACAGTTTTTATTCAGCTTGTTTTTAATCTTAACCTCACAAAATGAGGACATGTGATTACATTGACTAATTAACATGTTTTTGATTTCATCTGTATCCACATGGACAATCCTACATTTCCCCCTTTCTCTTAGATTTTTGTTTTGGTTTTAGGTCAATGCATTAGTAAATCCCTGGTATGCAATGGAGACCAGGATTGTGAGCAAGATGGTGCTGATGAGGATCAGTGTGAAGAGAGCAGACCAGCTTGCGACATTGATAAAATGCCTCCTAATGCAGAACTTACAGGAGCTGGGTGAGCTACTCTGCAGATCCCATCTCATGTTATACCGACATCTGTGCTAATTAAGTTGTATTTTTGTAGCATTTTAAAACAAATCTATGACTTCTTAGAAACAATAAATGTTGTATTGTACATACTGGCACACTCCCATTTCAAATACAGGCAGACCCCGGGTTACGTACAAGATAGGGACTGTAGGTTTGTTCTTAAGTTGAATCTGTATGTAAGTCGGAACAGGTGTCCAGATTCAGCTGCTGCTGAAACTGACCGCCAGTTCTGACTTACATACAGATTCAACTTAAGAACCCCAAGCTTCCCCAAGTCAGCTGCTGCTGAAACTGATCAGCGGCTGATTCCAGGAAGCCTGGGGCAGAGCAACTCTGCCTCGGGCTTCCTGTAGTCAGCGCTGGTCAGTTCAGCAGTGGCTGAATCAGGACACCTGGGGCAGAGCAGCTGGGGTGCTGCTGGGTTGCTCCAGTAGCACCGCTCCTCGGCGCTACTGGACCAACCC